GTTCATTAAATGTTGGGGAAATACAATCTCACCCCAATGCACTATTTATTTTTGCGAACTGCAGATTTTGATGCAAGACTTCCATGTATAAAATAACAAAATATATAAAATACATAAAATAATAAACACATACAAAGTAACTCATGTGGCAATGGGAAATGCCTTTTTCAAGAATGCTAAACCAAAGAGCCCGCAGCTCTTTCTCCAGAGAAGATACAGTGACAGCACGTTGAAATTAAAAGATTGATTTTGAATTGTAATCCTTTTTTTTTCCAGTCCCAGACACATTAGGTTATGTAATATTCAAACCACTAGTGGAAGTCTTGGAAAGCCCAGATCCCCAGTATAACATTGTGTGCACCGACATTAGCTCCACACAGAGAAATGAACAGGTTTTTCTTTATAAATCAGCCAAACAAATGCTGACTGCATCCAAAGCGTTTTTGCACTTCCTCTGCCTCTCATGTTTCCTATTCATTCCAGCTATGTGTGTCACTCCTTCCATCTGCCACCCAACTCCTCCCCTAGGCTTCTCTTACAGTCAGCAACCCCGCTGTCTGGATCACACCCTGGCTGGCACACTACAGCTCTCAACTCTGGGCCATTGTGCTGGCTCACATGTCAGACATGCTATTGCAAGACAGTCACTGTGAAATACTGAGCCTGGAATAGAAGACTGTTGTCCTTTTGTTCAGGGAAGTTAACTCTTTGCCTTTATGCTGCACATAACTCCATTTGTATAGAGTATTAGTTCTTGGAAGTTTAAATAATAGGGAAGTAAATACCTAGGAACATACTTTTGACATTTTTTCATATGCTAACAATACTAATCCTGAGATTCCACGGGTCTCCAAAATCTATTAAATAATTTAAAAAGTGACAATAAACTCTACTTTAAAAAAATTCTATTAAAGTATGTATTCTTTACTCCAAAAAGTACCTTCTGTTCCTCTTAGCCTCCTCTAAGTCCCCAAATTCCATTTTTTGCTGCTCTGATCCAACTTCCTATTAGAGGGTGGCTATGTTCATTCTCCATGGTCTCTTGGTAGGAACATAGCCACCGTTTCTTGCTTGCTCCCGAGATGGCTGAAGACTATGGGATTTGTAGTGTGCATAAAGCAGCAAACTAATGTTCCAAACAAACAGAAATGAGCTGGAAAAGGAGAGTAATAAATAATTTCATGAAAAATTACAGGGCCATTAAAAGGAGAAGTACAGCCAAAGCTATTTTGGCTGTACTTCTCCTGTGGATCACAGGAGTGCAGTTCATTATGCACTCCTGTGACCCATTTTCAGCTGACAGTGGACCGAAGTCACTCACTCACTCAGCTGGTCCAGGCTGGGAAAAGATCCTGACTTCAAAATTGGGGTTCACCCCAGAGTCTGGAGCAGCACCTTTCTCATGGATCCACTGAGAGCCTGAGCCAGCCACTCCCTGCCCCCTCCACAGCTCAGCACTGCTCAGAACGGTGAATAACCATCGCCACTTTCTGCTCAGAGAGGAGAGAACTCAGCGATCAGCAGTCATGTGATCGCTCAGGTCTCACCTTTAGAACCGGCAGGGGACAGATGCAGCATTAGACCAATGCTGCATCCACATAGATAAGTATAAATAGGAAAAAAAAGCCCTATTTCTCTTTTAAGTAGTGGATCTATATTTTTGGAGAACATGGTTAGCATTTGGTGTTCCTTTAAATCGTTGGTGCACCACATAAACAGGATCATTTTATCTTTGCTTCAAGCTTACTAAATACAACTGTATATGTTATCCAATAGCAACAGAGCCTTTATATAGAGCATGCAAAGCTCTGGCATATATATAAATCACCAAAGTAATGATAACTTTACTACTGATAATGAAAAAATGAAGAGGACAAAAGAATCCTCCGTGAGGAGGTTTACTTAAACCTCGTACATACAATGAGAATATCGGACAAATGCGTTTTATTTTTGCATGCTAGTCTCATATTGAAAAGGAATAGGTTACTAAACTTACAAAACTCTCGCAAGACAGAACACAACTTCAGAAGTGATTCAGTGTATTGTATTTTATTGTAATGTGTACTTTTCTTTCCAAGCATGCGCGGTCTTGGTCACTTGATTTTTTTCTTACAAATACCATACTAATTACACGAAAATCGTTTGTCCTGTTATCTTATGAGAAAAATGTTCATTCTTGTCCCTTCGGATATTTTCGCATGAACTGTTGTGGTCAGCTCTCGAAAGCTGTGTACTCTAGTAATAAATACCGCTTTCAGAGCGATCGTCTGATAATCTGATCTCTAGATCAGATTATCAGATGATCGCTCTGAAAGTGGTATTTTATGTCTGTTTTTTTCACCGTGTGTACTAGGCATAACACCCAGAGATCCAGCTCTGTATTCTGTATAATAGGCCCCTGTACCTTTATAGTGTCATCAGCATTTAATGCCGAATCTGTTCTGAAACAAATAAGCTTGCTGTCATAGTTGATTTCCTTTTAAAACTGCTGGTTGCCTCAATGTTGTGTCCTCAATACGTTCCAAGGAAAGGAGTATGCAGATCACAAAAGCCATGCATACGTCTGCATAATTGCTGCATCAACATAACTGCCAGGCAAACTAACATTTTTGGAAGCCATAATCAGTAACTGTAGCCCCCCATGTTTTTCTTATGACAGTTTTCCCATTTTCTTTTACACTGCCTTGAGTTCAGCTTCAATAGCATAGTACACCTTGTCCACACTGCACATTTCATGGTTACAGGTAGCTCTAGTTTACACAGTAACAATAATTAACTTCACAGATGTAGCAAGGACTCCCTATGCAGTCTGATTAACCATTATCAGACACATAAATCAAGCCTTCTGGCGCCCAGTAAAGAAAACAAGGGCCGCAATCGCTCATTTGGATGACAGAGAAAACTTCATAGCACAGGGCTGAATTTAACAGCCCCCATAGGACACTGGTCTGTAAGGTTTGTCCATTTTATTAACAGGCTTAACAATTACACCATCATCATTAATAACAGCTCCACACACAGCTGTCAGGGTGATGATCTTGCTCTGCAGTTTTTAATGATCACAGGATAATAACTGCAGCTGACAAATGCATAAAGCACAGGAGGATACAGGTCCATTATACAGCTGACACGTGTTATTAATGGGGATGTGCATGGAAATTAACAAAATAGGCAACAGTTCAGCTACAAAGTGGCTGGACGGAAATCATTATAAAGTTTACTCATTGCCACTCCCTGACAAAATAGGCATATTAAAAATTAAAACTTGAATTTACAGCATGAAACTGCAACACAGACAGTGGTAAAAATAAATATAAAAGGCTTCTGGTCTAAACTGATGGCAACATTGCATCTTGCAACATAAACGATAGCTTATGCAGGCCATACATGGGTTGAATCCCGAACAAATTTTTAGTCCGGAAATCGAAAACGTTGTTCGCTCGGTAATCCGATGGTTCCGTCAATGATTTAAAAATCGGGCCGACCAAGTCATAAAGTTCACCCCAGATAACAGGTGAAACTTCTGTTCCTTCCAGGTCACAGCTCATGCGCATATTCTTTTCGAAAAAACGATTGTACGATTTGACCATCATTGAGTCGAAAACAGTTGTTTTTCACAAATTTTTCAAAATGCCCGATCACCAAAAAGAGGAGGAACCACAAAAATCGGCTGGTGCTATTGACCCACTAACAGTGTGAAAATCGGCCGATTATTCTTAGGTCCAAATTGGTCGAATTTCAACCCATGTATGGCCGGCATTACTCACATCCCACACTCATGATAAAAAGCTACTTTGCATTTTCTGTGTTAAAGTAGAAATGTGACCAAGCTATGGACATTCGTATATATATATTAAAGCCTTTTCTATTAGCTGATTTGACTTGCTAGCCTTCTAATCTAAACTAAAGTAAACACAGAGTAGTTAGGGCTAGTTTAGCCTTCTGAAGTATTCTGTGGTTAATCGCTCTTCAGAGGGAGATTGACAGGCAGAGAGAAGGCATTATGCTGCTTACACAACACCTGTTTTAACCTCTAAAAACCCAGTTATAAGGGTTGAGGGGTTACAGTTGTCATCAAGAACGTAATATGATAAACTGTCAAAGCTGGGTCTTGCTCATAAGTTTGGGACTTTCTACTCCTGTGTGTAGAATAAGACAAGACGTAAAGGCAAATTTCCTCAGTGGGAAGACAAGCAGTGGTAGATATCTTGACAGAGATTTTAACCTTCTCTGTTCTATCCAAAACAAACATCTAGACCAGAGGTCTCCAAGCAATCTAAACAATGGGCCAGTTTACTGTACTTCAGACTTTAGGGATCTGGACTCTGGAGTAGAAAAGGTCCTGACATCAGTGGGAAAACACACTAACACCATCTCTGGTGTCAGTGGGTGTAATTGTGCCCCACCATTGGTGTCAGTGCGAGGAATTGTGCTCCATTGTTGGTGTCATTTGGGCCACATAGTTGGTGTCGTTGAGAAATTGTGTTGCATTGTTGGTGTCATTGGGAGTAATTTTCCCCCTTTATTGGTGTCAGTGGGGGGAATTATGCCCAACTGGTGGTATCAGTGGATAAAATAGTTCCCCAAAGGCCAGATAAAAAGCTTGCAAAGGGCCACATCTGGCCCCTAGCCCCTGGAAACCACTGGTCTAGACTACAACTTAAAGACATGAGCAAAGTTGAGAGTAAGAGACTATCTCTATATTGTATGTGTTCACATTCCTCCTACGTAAACTCGCTCTTATTTTAGGCAATGCACTAAATAAAGTATGTGATATCAAGCATTGGAGGTGGAGACAGTGGTCATCATCTTAAAACTTACAGCAGAGATGGGATAGTTTACAAGAAAAACTAATAGAGAACAGAGGTGTATAGAACGGAGGTCCTTAAATGGAAACAAAAGGCCAGACAAAAGGCCACGTGGGAGCAAGACCAACTGCTTCTGAAGAAAGGTAGCCACATCTTCTGGACTATGCCCTACGGTAGCCTTCTCCAACTTACCGTGCGTTTTCTTTTGGTGTTAAGGAAATCTCCCCATCAGTGGCAATGTCGATCACACAGTGCTCGGGTTGAATCCCAATGCCAAAAAGCTGTATGTCCTGAGAAGTGTCCGCACCCACCTTCGTGTGGTCCTGTTGTAGACAGCCATAAGGCAATTAAATTGCATCCTCAAAGTTATAACCCAATTGTACAAAGCGAAGTACTACTCAACTGTGCACTGAATTCTGCAAACAGAACATAAGTGGTTGCATCACTGAGCCTGTGCTGCACCAAACTGTGGAAATGAAAAATATACCTCTTTCTTCTCTTAGATATTTAGTCTTTTGTTACACATCAATGTTTGTCCCTTTGTGAAAAAAAGCTGACAAAAGTGACAAAGCTGCTATAGGAATAAAGATTTTGGAACTTGCTTTTTTTTTTTTTTTCTAAGAGTCTAATTATTATTTAGGCCAGGATGTCATACAACATTTACAACTCAGTTTTAAAGCTCCTCAAAAAAAAATGAAGTGGATCTGAAAAAAATATGAGGAAAATGATAGGGCAGTTTATCTAATCTTATTAATCTTATCAAATTAACTACCAAACTCAACAGGTCCATTATTTCCATCAAACAGATTCAATAACCTCTAAAATTTAACATCATGGTGAGATGGTAAGATAGAAAAACAATGTTTATCTTTATTTAGATGAAAGGGAACTGTACAGGTTTTGGGTTTTATATTCGTGAAGATAAAAGGTAAAACCATTATTTTGTTTTGAAAAGAGTAGGAAATGGTTATTTTATTTCTGTTTTTCTGTGTCCCCATCAGGGAGATTTCTATTGACTTCCAGTCCCATAGACACAGCACGAAGTAGGAGGAGATCTCTGCAAAGTGAGAGAATACTTCTCTTAAACAACTGTCATCAAAAGAGGTTTCTCATTGAAAACTTTCCCCTCTCCTCCTTTTCCTGTGACAACTGAATCATCCTGGATTTTCCATTACTTTCTGTACAGGAGACAATGGTAGTGTGGGAACACTAAATAAAAATATGACAGGGGCTCAACTTCTAACAGGTGTACTTTAAATACGTTGGAACATTGAAAAAAAAAATCTTCCCCAACAATACCATTACATGTGATAAGTGACAAATTATTTCCAAACTGCTTTAGAACGCTGACCTATTTTAATTATGGTTTTAATAAGCATCAATGTTTTATGAGATACCATGATTCAAACATACAGAAGCTGACTAATTCAATAATTAGCACAAAAACAAAAAAATAATAACACTCTTTGCTATAACATGTGTTCCAGTTCAGCCTAAATAAACAGACATAAAATTAAGTTTGGAAATTTCTGAAAAATATATATGGCAACCCTGAACAGTAGTGCAGACATGAATTGACAGTTCAGTTCACCTGCTTTTACTGCAGCAGTACAAAAATTCACATGCATTAAGCCCCCTTCACATGGAGCGGACTCTGCTTTGTTCAGCAAGGGATCTGTGAGGCGATCCCCTCCTGATCGGAGCTGAATAAGACAGATGTCACATCTGTGCCCATTTAGTTTCTGTAGAGTGGACACAGGTGGACCCCTGTCAGCTCTGGACCCCTGTCAGCTCTATGGGTGCCTGGGTCTATACAGACTCCACTGTCTGTTTACATCAGGCTACCTGTGATCTGGTCCACAAAAACATTTTTTTTCTAGGTCTTGACAGAACCAGAGGTAGGAGAGTGTGAACGGACACAAGCCCACCTGTCCATAGGACTCCATGGACCTTCTGTTCAGGTCTGCCTGAAAAACTGACAAGTGCACCTGATACCCGTGTGAAAGGGGCCATTGCCTTAACTGTGTACAAACAGTCTAGTAATTTAAATATTTACAGCATATCAAAAGTGATCTTTATTCAGTTCTGTAAGAATGCCATACGCAGGAGTTTGCAGTTAACTACAGCAAACTTTCCAGTCACTGACTATTCCTTCTTCTCCCAGAAAGGCATACAAGCATGCATAGCTTTTTCCAACAAATCTACATTTCTTTGTTACCTAAACTCAAAGACTAGGTTCACATTTGTGCGTTGTGGGAATGTGCGCAAAATCTCATGTATTCCTTCAATGCACAAAAAACACGCATCTCTTTTGCAGGCACCCCAATGCAACTTGTTAGCATGCAATATCATACATTTTGGTGCAGCACAATATATAAAAAGGGTGATGTTCACTTGTTTTGTGTGACTTTGTGTAGGGCAGCCCCCATTGAAACAAATAGGCTGACTGACACGTGATGCACGAAATTGTGCCAAAGACGTGCACGCACCATTACACCCCCATTGGTGTGAATGAAGCCTAAATGCAGTCGTTATTTTTAAATGAATCTTAACACAAACTAATTCCTACACTGCCCAGTAAAATGGTTGTGACACTAGAAAGAGTGGAATGATATGTCAGTACAGACACCTCTGATACCTATAAAAAGTAGGAATTGGGCAAGTTTTTCTAACCTGTGCAAAGGCTATTACCATAGATGAGCCTTGGTTAGCAGGGTCTGCAGGTGCCCCACAGACATTATATTGTAGTTGAACTGTCATCCAATGACTACAGACACTTATAACTTTTTTATACAACTCTTGTGGCTCAAGGATGCCAGCAACAGCAGCCTACACTGCATTACAGTATTATCTCATCCTGCCAAGGTCTACAGTATTAAATGATGGTCATCTCGATTCTGAAAGTATATGATGATGTGTTTGTTGATGATCACATTTGAAAAAGACAGTAAAATTACTTTTCCTCTCAAGAAAAATGTATAATTGATAAATATTATAGAAAGATACATTTATCACTGTCAAAAGATAACCCCCGATGACAAAAGTGTGAATACTGCCATTGTTGACCTTGCCTTTTGAAAAAAAATTGTGATAATGCCCTGACTTTAATAATGTGGGTCGTTGACTTGGAACTAGTATACAGATCCGGAGTTTTGACTTCACTGATTGCATACTTGTTCGAAAGTCAACAACTCAAAGTACTTAAAGTGATACTAAAAGCCAGGACCCTGCATTCACTATATCTGGTCTCCCTAAGTACACAGAACATGGAAATGCAAATATTTTAGTAAATATAAACTGCTAAATACCTTTTCTCATCAGCAGTTAGAGCAGTCTTGTGACTTCAGCAGAGCACTGGTTAAAGCTTGTAGGAGGAGTTTTATTTCTGCTCTATGAGGATGTGAAACCCCTGACCTCTGTCTGGACAGTGCTGATTGGCCCTGTGCTGATCACATACACCCTCCCAAGAAAAAAAAAAAACCTCTCTAGCAATACATACGAAACTGAGCATGTGCATGTGACCACGGGTTCAGTCTGTATCAGGTGGTCATTTGAACAAGAGGAGGGGCAGAGAAGAAAGGATCAAAAAGCCTTTTTACACAATGCACAGGATTAACCCCTTAGGTTCCACAGTGAGTATAACAAGAATGCTTTACTGCATATACAGACTTGTGACAAAAAGCAAATGCAAAATGCTTTCAGGTACATTGAGTTTGCTTTAAGAATAGATTATGGTGCTTCTGAGATTTTTTGTGTGATTTTCTGACCTCCTTCTGGCCAGCATTCAACTCCCTCAAAGCTGCTTTCAGCAGCTTTTGTACTCCCACTGACATGTATAGGAGAAAAGCAGTTGTGACACAAACAAAAGCCCAGATATATAGGTCCTGTAAGGCAACTGCAATTTTGGAAGGAGGTCAACAATGGCATCCCTGAATACCCCTCAGAACAGATTTCCTTTGAACTAAATTGACCTTAGCAAATGATATAAATATTTGTAGAATACAAATCACCCTAGCATACATAAATCTCATTGAAAGCATTTATTCTTTCATTATTAGACTTTACCTTTAAATAATAAACCAGCAGTTCGTTAAGCGCGGGGTCAGCATTGAGGTTCACCAGGTAACATTTGTCATCGCCAACTTTAATACCGGAAGACTGTAGAGAGATCCCCATGCTTTCCAGTTGCTTCTGCCTTTCCTGTAAAAATTAAAAATCACCAGGGTTCAAGCATGAATTCAGTACATACACTAAGAATATATAAGTAATAATGGGCGATGGAAGGGGATTTTGCAATCTGCCCTCCACAACTTGCCCTAAAGGTTCACTGAAGTTTATAACTGGTTATTGGTGTACCCATGGAATGCATTTGGATATACAGTATGTATATTGTGTGTATTGGGGATTATCCTGAAACTGGACTGCAGATGCAATTAAATAATTTCCACCACACTGTCTACAGACATTGTAAACTGAAAGCATCTTTTGCTATCTTGTTAGGACTGGTAAGTTTTAAGCCCATCATTTAAAGTATGTATCAGCTATCCTAGTAAAAGTCCATCTAACCCTGTTTAAGCTCTGACCAGTGACCCCTGTTTTTCTTTGTCAGTGCAGTCTGTCCATGTTTGGTTTATGCTGTGATATTATTGTGATGTTACTGTGATGTTATTGACACTTTGCATATTAAAGTTTTCTCTCTAATATACCTGCAAATTGATTACTAACTGGTTGGCCTTACTAGAATGCTGATGCATGATTTTTCAAACCAACACAAAGCAACTAACAAAAGTATTAAAGGAAATAAGTTCTCCTTTTGAAAAAAATAATAAATGCTAATTTTTTGCAGGGAAATTGAGAACTACAAGCAGTCAGCCACAATGACTGATGGTAATTGTAGGCATTAATTCACAGAAAACTGTGAATGAATGATGCAGTTATGTGGGTGAGGGGGAAGGCTGCAGATACTGGAACATGTTACTTGTTCTACCCTAAAATCAGGTACCTACTTCCCCCTCCTCTCCAAAAAGTGCCAAATATGGCAGTGAAGGGGGGAGGATGCAAACAAGCAGAACTTTCCCCTTTTGGGTGAAGTTCTTCTTTAGAGTGGATCAAAAGTTTCCATTTTTTTTTTCTAATAAACATATACTTACCTGCTCTGTGCAATGGTTTTGAACAGAGCAGCCCTGATCTTCCTCTTCATGGGTCTCCCGCAGGCGCTTCTGGCCCCTCTCCCTTGCCGAGTGCCCCCAGAGCAAGTTGCTTGCCCTGGGGGCACTCATATGTGCTGGCTCCTGAGCTGGTTCTGTGTGCCTATGGGACATACAGAGTGTAGCTCAGTCCCTCCCTCCGCTATCTCCTCACTGGCTGTGTTTGACAGCAGCAGGAGCCATAGACTCCTGATGCTGTGTCTCAGCCAATGAGAAGAGAGAGACCCGGGAGAGCTGCTGCTCTTGTGCACATCACTGGATCAAGATTGTTCTCAGGTAAGTATTAGGGGGGCTGCGGGTGAGCTGCACACTGAAGTTTTTTACCTTACTGGATAGAATGCATGAAGGTAACAAAAAACATCATGCTTTACAACCACTTTAACATTTCAACACAAGTCCCTCGAAGATATGTAAATAAAGCGTAGGCAACATATGCTCTCCCTATGGTAAGTTATATCTCCGAACATCCTCTAATAGCAACACAGTTAAATCTTTTGAAGTCTACCCAGTGGATACAAGATAAATATACAGTAGATACAAGCAAGCATGACAACAAAGTAAATAATTTCAAGTTTTTTAAGCTCTGTAACTGCTACAAGACAAATAAGCAATACCTGGGCAATAGCTTCTGTTTTCCCTCAGCTTCTCTTCCCAGGTAATTGTCAGTTCTCTAATTAATTTCTCAGATTCTTCTAATTTTTCTTTCAGTTCAGGTGCTTTCATAGCCTATGGATGGAAAATAACAGGCAGATACATAATTTACTCAAACTGAGCAGAAATCAATCGAGCCATCTGCTTCATAACATTTAACACTGCTGCATTTTAAGATTTGCTAATAAGGAGTATAATTATATTCAGAAATCAACTGGGGCAAGAAATTCTATCCAAATAAACTAACAAAACTGACTCCACCTGTGCAAATAACAGCAGGTGACAATATCACGGAATGACTACAATTATCTGTAAAGTATAAAAAGAAAACTAAAATTATCACTAATACACTATAAAAGATATCACTAATACAGAATTCAGGAGAGGAGCATTTGGGCAGGAAAATGGCAAGCGCGCCTTATCGCTAGTATGTTTGGGCATTCATGTATTCTAATGGCTATAATAAATGAATATTCTGGCCAATAGAATGCATTAATGCCAAACAAGCAAAGACACATAAAAGCACATTAACGTGCATGCAAAATGCGGCTTTAAATTTGTTTTCTTAGCTGCATTTCCCTCCCCTGTAGCTAAGGCATCCAGGGGAGGAAAAATAAAGTCCTGTGTACATGAGGCCTAAGACTTTGACTTTTGTTCTCATTATCATAAAGTATTTCCACTTTCACATGCACTTGCTTCCATTTTTTTTAAATTTGTTGGATTTCCATTGATGACTACTGAGTCTGAAAAGCATTCAAGTGGAGCCCAGTCCAACAAGACTCTGTCGCTGTGAGATCCAACAGCTGAAGCTGGGATAAACTGTGCCAGATAGCTAAAAACAAAAGTGGGGAAACTACTGGCAGCTGTAGGTTGTAGAATCTTGATTGAAGAGGGAATGTAGTTGCTAGAAGTAACAGGTTAAATCTTGTCCCACAGAGCTGAAGAAAAGATATATATCCTCTTAGGACACTAGCAAACTGGAGCATGCTGGCTGAGAGAGAGGTTATACCCAGGTTTTTTTTTTTGTTTTCCAGTGTTAAGTCCTCCTGTAGCTAGCAGTATAACCCAAAGGCTCAAGGATTTCTCAACTTAGACATTTTCACTATACATAGAAAAAAGACAATTGGACTTTACTGGCATTGAAGGGGAACAACATTTATATATAAAAAAATATATGAAACTTTATTACAATTAATTAAAAGATACAAAAAGATACAAAAACCACATACAAATCCAAGAATCTGCATACTGCCTTGTGAACAGGTTCAACTGGTAACTCACTAGACCAAAAAAAAATAGCCTATTACAAAATTACACCTAATTGATAGTCATGTGTAAAGATGTATATTGTGGTTATGAGTCCTCATGAGACTGTTGTATCTTTTAATGCATTGTAATAAAGTTTCATATTTTTTATATATATATAATGTTGTTTCCCTTCAATGCCAGGTAAAGCGGAGTTCCAGCTGTAAAAAGAAAAAAAAAAAAACCTGTAGCTTTGGACTTTTAAAATACAGCCACTTACCTGTCCCTCAGTCCAGTGGTGGTTTCACCAGCCGTCTTCTCTCCCTGGCATCTTTAATGTGGGCACCCGGCTGTGACAGCTTGCGGCTTCACAGCTGGGTGCCCACTGCGCATGCGCAAGAAGCATTTGGGTACCCCCCCCATGCCTCCCCAAAGGTGTCAATCCTTAATGGGGAGTGGGGGACAAAGCATTAAAGCAGGACTTCCCCTTTTGGGTGGAACTCCGCTTTAATTGTTTTTTTTAATGTAAATAAAATTATTCATGGATGTGGCAGATGAGCAGTTTATACCCTTTATGCAGAATGTTTCACAAACTACTATACCAGGGAGAGGCTACTTTAGGTTCTACAAGACCACGTAGGGTACGGTCTGGCAACTCTCCTGACCCAGTGGTAGTAAACTAGAGTACTGTGCTTAGACATCTTCTGATAAAAAGTCATTTATATGGCATGGAATGTATTTAATTTTTTTTTTATTTTTAGGGATTACTTTGTTTATTCAATGTTTTGGGATAAGCAGGGGGGTTAATGGGCAGTTTATGAATGTTTTAAATTTCTCCTTGGTAACCACAATTATATAGTGTATGGTATGTCTTTCAGCACTTTTATTTTAGGTGGTGTGGGGGTGGAGGGGTTGGCTCCTACTATTTCTCCTTGTACTATTGTTCTGTAAAGGGGAGGCACCTCACTGTTCATGAGTCTCCTGTTGTCAAGGGGGACCCTGAAGCTGGTGTATAAATGTCAAGGCTAATTTGTTTTGTTTTTCTTTTTTTGTTTTTTTAATTTTTATTTTATCTACCATGGTACAGCAGTAACTTTGCATTGCTGTTTGGTAACTGTTGTTAAAATTCCTAAACAAGCAATTTACAAAAAAAAAGTAATGTATTTCCTTGTCATGGTACTCTGTAAGTTCCCAACTTGGGTAACTAAAGCTCAGTGTGCACAATGTACCTCATGAAACTTAAAGTCTCCGCTCAAGCTCCTGTAAGTTCCGCAGTTACTTTACATACTCTATGATTCTCCCATATTGATATCTCAAAAATGTTTACCCATAGAGATACCCAATTTATGGAGCCAAGTTGTAAAAAACAACCTGCTAGCATTAAATTCATGACTCTACAGTATGGAAAGGTTCAGGGAAGGTTGGAAGTCCCAAACCCTAACGTCTACTTCCTAACCACTCAACTCTAACACCTGACAGGATGGAACTTGGAGGATAGGCTAAAACCAATTGGTAGATTACTAACCTACCCTGATACAGATTTTTCGGCATTGTTGCATCTGGAATTGAGTCTCCAGATGTGCAGTTGTCTTACCCCAGTCTCCTTACTGAAAACAATTTGACAGTCCGTAAAAACAAGTTAACAAGGTTTTCGGCTACCTAAAAAGTGTGCCCTATGGCATAATAATAATTATGTGGAACTTGCTAAGCTGAAAGGGTTCCATTTCTGGTATGCATTGGGTATTTGTTTGTCAGCTCAACCGTACGCCATGAATGTACTGAAGTCCTTTACTATACAACAATCTGAGTTTGCTATCCCTAGGCAACAGTTTTATAGATCAATCTCTCCATACTATCTTAGTATTAGAGGAGCCACGTCTGATTCATGAGATAATGTCTCAGGTTAGCAAGATGTAGGTGAAATTGATGGAGAATGATTGGGGGTGGCCCTGGCATCTGTACCTCTAGTTTTTTTTATCCTCTTCACAAAAGCTGACATAATTTCTCATACTACACCATGCATAATTGTTTCAATGGGGTTGGAGGGATTCTCCCTCTACCCCAAATGTAATAGTGATGAAGGGGTCTTAATACAAATGCTCTGGAGGTGTCTGAAGTTAACCAGATATTGGAATGACGTTACTAGTACTATATCCTCGATATTTGATACTATTATACCTCAGGATCCTTTAGTATGACTACTAGGTGCCATAGACATGGAAATGTATACACCACTATATATATAACGGTGCTTAGACCCTTCTATGTAGCGTGCAAATTGATAGCATGACATTGCTTCTTGCCCCACCCTCCAACTTTGGATTAAACAAGTGAATTCTTTACTAAAATATAAAAAAAGCTGACTTATCAGCACTGTAATACCTCAAAGAAATTTCTGACCATTTGGCAAAATTACTTTGAAACCCTGGGGTTTGCTCCCCCTCAATTAATTCTTCATAAGCTATTTCAGATATTTCCTTTTTCCAGCACTGAATGCTGGAAAAGTGTTGGCACAGGCACAGTGTTGGCGGTTATGACTCCTGTTCCCAAGTGGCAGGGCTGCTTAGTACTTGAAGACTTCTGTACTGATACACAAATACATTAGTAACCTAACTTTGATTTGTTCTGTCAGGTTTGTAGCAAAATGGATAATATCTTGACATTATTGTTGTAAGTTTCACACATTTTTTTAAAGAATTTTTTATATGTGCCGAGAGATGACTAGGCAAGATCTCTCTACTGTGCGCACGTAATTACTTTCACTAAAAAACGTAACTGATTTTTAAAAAAAATGTTAGTATTATACCAAACCTTATTTACAGCATACAAATTAATTATACACCAGTTACTGTGATTGACTACTATAGGACATTTTACAATATCTGTGCCACTTGTATGTGAGTTCTCACCTCTGCCTTTGACAGTTGTTCTTTGAGTTTGTCCACCTCTTCCCGCAGTTCTCGGATAACTCTGGCATTAGGATCTTCATTCACCACAGCATGGTTGACTATCCTTTTAGCTCGATCAGCATACCGTAGTGTGGACAGGGTCTCTTCATAGTTGTCTGCTGCTGGGCTTATTGTTGCTATCATGGCAGTCTTGCTGTTGCCACCCAAATTGTCCTTTATGCCAAAGTGAAAGATACAAATTAATTAAATTGCGACCAAGTCATGCCATTCAAAATGGCTTCTGTCTGATCATTTATCATTTTTTTTAAGTTACTCCATTTATAAAATGTTTTACTGAATGAACTTGTTTCTTTGTTTTTATGATTTACATAATGAAATAATATATGGTAAAATCTAAAGTAAACCAACTTCAAAAAGTGTTATTTTAAAACTTTCCACAAATGTTACTTAGCTAAGATGGTACGTACATAAAACATAATGTATGCATGTCATCCTACTGTACAACAGAGTTTTACCAGTAAACAATAATTTAATGCCATAAATGCATATGGACCAGGCCCTAGGTTGAATTTACTACTGGCTTCTAAATTCTGCATTATAGGAACATAAACTACAGTTTTGCTCAAAAGTTTGCACACCCTGGCAGAAATCATGAAATGTTGGCAATCATAAATGAAAATATGACTGATCATGCTAAAAAAACTGTCTTCTATTTAAGCATAGTGATTAGAGATGAGCGAATTATTCAAAAATTCGATTCGGCTGATTCGCCGAATTTGCGGAATAAATTCGATTCGATGCAAATTTATTCGCTGCAAATTTAACTTATTAAAAGGGTTTCTAGGCTTCAGAGAGCCATTTATATTAGTGCAGAACACTGTACCTTTAATTTAAATGCCCTTGGAGTCTGCTGGGGAAGAGAAATATTACTGTCAGTCAGTATGACATGCAGATGAGTGCCGTCGATCTTAGAATCACCGCACACTTCACTCATTTGGGCAGTCACGGGGCACGAAGAAGAAGAAGAAGAAGAAGAAGAAAAGAAGAAAGAAGAAGAAGAAGAATGAAAAGAAGAAGAAGAAGAAGAAGAAGAAAGAATGAATGAAGAAGAAGAAGAAGAAGAATGAAGAAGAAGAAGAAGAAGAAGAAGAAGAAGTAGGATGAGGATGAAGAAGAAGAAGAAGTAGGATGAGGATGAAGAAGAAGAAGAAGTAGGATGAGGATGAAGAAGAAGAAGAAGAAGAAGTAGGATGAAGAAGAAGAAGAAGAAGAGAGGATGAAGAAGAAGAAGAAGAAGAAGAAGAAGAAGAGGATGAGAAGAAGAAGAAGAAGAAGAAGGATGAGGATGAATGAAGAAGAAGAAGTAGGATGAGGATGAAGAAGAAGAAGAAGTAGGATGAGGATGAAGAAGAAGAAGAAGTAAAGATGAGGATGAAGAAGAAGAAGAAGTAGGATGAGGATGAAGAAGAAGAAGAAGAAGGATGAGGATGAAGAAGAAGAAGAAGAAGGATAGGATGAAGATGAAGAAGAAGAAGAATGAGGATGAAGAAGAAGAAGTAGGATGAGGATGAATGAAGAAGAAGAAGAAGAAGAAGATGAAGATGAAGAAGAAGAAGAAGAAGTAGGATGAGGATGAAGAAGAGAGAATGAAGAGAAGAAGAAGAAGTAGGATGAGGATGAAGAAGAAGAAGAAGTAGGATGAGGATGAAGAAGAAGAAGTAGGATGAAGAAGAAGAAGAAGAATGAGGATGAAGAAGAAGAAGAAGTAGAAGTAGGATGAGGATGATGAAGAAGAAGAAGAAGTAGGATGAGGATGAAGAAGAAGAAGAAGAAGAATGTAGGATGAGGATGAAGAAGAAGAAGAAGAATCAGAAGAAGTAGAGGAGTGGAGGATGAAGAAGAAGAAGAAGGATGAGGAGGATGAAGAAGAAGAAGAAGAAGGATGAGGATGAAGAAGAAGAAGAAGAAGTAGAAGAAGAAGAAGTAGGATGAGGATGAAGAAGAATTCCATTCCAGCAAAAAGTGTATCTGCAGAGAGCTCCGCTATTTCTGACAGTTCTCTGACAGTTCCTTCACATTTACAGCGGTTGAAACATTGTATCTATTTGTTTCCGAATAAAAACATCTGTATCCTAAATGGAAACAAATAGATACAATGTTTCAACTGCTGTAAATGTGAAGGAACTGTCAGAGAACTGTCAGAAATAGCGGAGCTCTCTGCAGGGACACTTTTTGCCAGCTGTAGAAGGGATGAAAATCGGCGGATCGGGGAAAATTCGATTCGTGCATCCGAAGTTTGCTAATATTCGGATTCGACGCAAATCGAATTTTTCCTAATATTCGAAACGAATTCCACTTCGCCAGGTTCAATTCGCTCATCTCTAATAGTGATCATATGAAGCCATTTATTATCACATAGTTTCTTTGGCTCCTTTTTAAACCATAATGATAAGAGAAATCATCCAAATGGCCCTGATCAAAAGTTTACATACCCTGGAAAGTTTGGCCTTGGTACGCCCAATGCATTTCGTCATCAAAAGACGTCTTCTAGGGGCTACTGACAATTCCATTCTGCTCTCTATGGTTCAGTATCTAGCCTGCTCAGTGCATCCACATGAGAGCTAACAAATTCAATTGACTATTTATACACAGATACTAACTGCAATTTAAAAAGCCACACATGGGAAATTACCATTTAACTGCCATTTTAACCTGTGTGTGTCACCTTGTGTGACTGTACCAAGGCCAAACATTCCAGGGTATGTAAACTTTTGATCAGGGCCATTTGGGTGATTTCTGTTATCATTATGATCTAAAAAGGAACCAAACAACTATCTGATAATAAATGGCTTCATATGATCACTATCCTTAAATAACAGACAGTTGTTTGGCTTGATCAGTCATAATTTCAATACAAATACCAACATTTCACACTTTTTCTGCTAGGGTATGCAAACTTTTGAGCACAGCTGTATAAGACAGCCAACAAAGAATGAACTGACAGCAGAGAAAAAGAGTAATGAATGCCCTACATGTTTTTGGGTACTATTGAGTGACACAATTTTCTGTCTCTGACTCTGTAAAGGTTATGAGGATAGTCCAAACCTGATTAACATTTGGAAATGTGGAAGTACTTGGAATTAACCCCAATGACACATGTGGAAGAAATGGTATGTAAACTGTGATTTTAGAAAAACAACGATGAGTAAAGAATATAACTGCGTGCATATAAACTGTTATTAATTCCTTGTGAGTGGTTTTCATATTGTGATCACACCACAAAACAAACTTCAAAAGATATTATTTTCCTAGGTAAATCAGTAGTCCAATACTGAGGTCAATGCATATTTACTGATCTGACAAAAAGAATAGTTCTGGATACATTTGAATAACAGATATATTCGACTATGGAATATACTGACATTGTATTCAAATAGCGAGTAATCAAAAAGAAGAGTATACTTTAGGAAACACCATGTCCTGGTTATTACGTCTGTAGCATTTAAAACAAATTGCCCAACGATCAAGTTTATAGTAAAGAAGAAAAATATATATACCGTATTTTTTTTCCAACATAGAACAGTAATAAAACAGAGAATAGATTTGGTGTTTCAGGGGAAATGAAGCTGAAAGTGCAACAGGCATTCCCTGAACTCATACTTAGGTACACATATTTTAGGTATGATATAAGCAAAAGGAAAATTTGAGTTAGGATAGGCAGCCTTAATACTTGAAGTGACTGTTGATACTGAGAGCAAAATGATCAAACCCTCCAATAATGTCAAGGTGTTAAGGATTATTGCTGGGTTAAACATCTAATTGTAGGAGAATCTCTGTTGGCCAACAAGCAGGACCATATCCCAAGGAATTTGTGGCCATTCTGCTAATTCCAGTGGGTGGAGTTATTTCCATTATCTAGAAACTGCCACTCTGGTGGCTAGAAGACAATGCAGCAAACTGCTTTTATTAATTTTGACACCAGATCTTGGTAACCTGGGAGGCAGGCCAAATATCAGAAATGCACATATTTTGCATGATATGTAAACCTTGTCCAAAATGTGGTAATCTGGAGACAATTCCACATTATTAGATATTGATGGGTATATGTGGTGTAGTTTTAATGGAGACAGACACCTTAAAGCTGTGGTTCCCAACTTTTTTTCCCACTTGTGTACCCCTTTGCAACCCATTTCCATAAATCATAACTACCTAACCCCATCCTAACCCACTAAAATCAGCCCAAGTAAAATTATTGTGTGGTTGGGCTTCACGGGTGCCCAGACCACCTGCACCATAGAAGCACATTACGTTGAGCTGCCCTGCCACCTAGCATGGATAAGGTGGGGCAGAGCACCAGTGATCATGGTAATTGTGGGTAGAAGGGTAGAAATGGCTGCAATGATTACAGTCACACTGAATTTCGTCTAATTTTTTTTTTTTTTTTTTCGCATAACCCTAAACATCTTGGCACCTTCAACATAGCCCTCCCATCTTGTCATATAATAAAGTTTTTTTCCCCTAGAACTGCCCCCCCCCCCCCCCCCCCCAATTCCTATCTGGAGTGGACCATACAGAATACAAATTATGTGTAAGAGGAATGTACCTAAAGGGGAATGTTCAATCAGGGTGGGAGTTTGTGGCTTGAGTACACCAAGGAGACACATTAAAGTGACTCTAAAGGGAAGTTCTTTAAAAAAAACAAACATGTTATACTTATCTGCTCTGTGTAATGGTTTTGCACAGGGCAGCCCCAATCCTCTTCTTATTGGGTTCTGTGCTGGCGGTCCTTGCTCCTCCCCCCTGCCAAGTGCCCCCAATAGCAAGCCTCTTGCTATTGGGGCACTCCTGAGCCATGCTCTGTGTGTCCATTCACACATGGAGCGTGCCTCAGCCCCACCCCCTGCACTCTCCTCATTGGCTTACTGGCTGCGACTGACAGCAATGGAAGCCAATGGCTCCCACTGCAGTGTAAGCCAATGAAGAGAAAGTGACCTCAGAAAGCACATCATTGGATTGTGATGGGGCTCAGGTAAGTATAAGGAAAGGGTGGGGAAGCTGCACCCAGAATGACAGGCATTGGACTGGGTGACTGTGGATGCAGATCACTGCAGTCTAGGAGTGTACTGTAGAATTCCAGGGCATGTTAGGTTGGGGTCAGAAGCCTTTGGAGAAGTTAGCTATGGTGGATGTACCCACCCCTGGACCAAAGGTTGAATTGTCTAATAAAGAAGTGAGGGAGCCAAGTCTATGAGAAGGAATCTTAAGTATTACAAAATTGCCGCAGATTTGTAGGGGAGGCAAAGATAAATAGAGAAGTCTGAGAAGTAAGGATACCATGAGGACGGGATCCACAAAGGTGAGCACAAGTCTTTTTGGCATTGGTCATATTTAAATTGTGTTATAAGTTTGCTGAATAGTTGTAAAACCAATCCACTGCATGATTCACAAGGGCAGCTTTGTACTAAATTTCAAAGTCTGAATACTTACCCCTCCCTCAGTCTTAAGTTTTGAGAAAACCATTTAGCGCAACTGGGGCTTCTTGTTTCCCCAAATTAAACAGATTCTGAGGGATCTGAGATGGGAGATGAATGGGAAGCTCTATTAGTAGTAGGATAAAGTCCAGTGAGTTGGGTGGGTAGCAGTTGGATAAAGGAGTATAATATAGGTAAGTGAGATGAGGTCTGATTACCCAAAATTTCTACTAGGGAAATTGATTTGCAGTTGGGATTATATGCAGGATCTCAGATTTGGATAAGGCTCATTTTAAATTTGTTTAGGGAACCAAATAAAGCAAATATGCATAAGAAGTTTGTCAGTGGGAGGATTATGAACATCAAAACAACTGCAGTTCTTAATCATGTTAGTCAATGTATAGCTTAGAAAAGATAACTGTTTTTGCAGTTAAAAACAACAAACATTTCAGTTGTTCTACCACATAATTATACTGTACCCACATGGTGTTGTATGATTAAAGGAATGACATCGTTATTTCAAGAATATGTGATCTGCAATGTAGGAATAGATATTGGAACATGTGGTATTACCTTAAGAAGCCATGTTAGCACAGAATCTCTGTAAGGCACAAATTTGTTCTTCCCTTTCCCTGCAGCTTGATCGGCCAAAGAAGATATAACCAAACCCAAAGTTGTTAGTGACCTGGGTGGACAGATGCACATCCGTTAAAATACAGATATATCTAATGCTATGCAGAATTATGGAATTAGAATAACAGAATATTCCATGACAACACCCTGAGATCCCACCTACCGGATAAAGGATGTTGTCAGGAATGAAGATCTGAAATACACATTAGACGTCTAAGAAAAAAATTTTCCAGTAATTTTCCCATTTGACACAAACTGACCATGACACAATAGACCTAGAAGTTGGGATTGTTTCAGGGTAAGGTCTTTGTCAGTAAATAATAATAAGAAAATATCTTGTCAAATTTACACTTACAGATGAAATCTACAAATCCGTTAAAATGTAACATTAAGGTGAACCCCAGGTAGAAATATAAAAACACCTACAAATTCACCAACTAAAGGCATGTAAAAAAAGATTATTGAATATATTTTTTAAATGTGACTAGGGTACCTACCTAGATTTGTCATGAAACTGACCTAAGCCCTAAAGCAACAACACTCACATTGGTAAAGGTAACATTAAGATTTAGGAAACAGAATGTAAAAAAGGATAGCATCCTTAAGGCCAGGCTGTGTTCTTAGCCAAGCTGTTTAAAAGTACTTTTGTTGTTTTTAACATTAAAATTTTCAATGATTTTGTAATGATTGTAATTTCCCAAACAAAGACCACATTCACTGAGAAATTTATTTCTTCAAGAATGTTTTTCCATCCTACTCCTTTGAATTTTCTTGTCACTGCAGTCCAAAACAAATGTCAAGGTAGTCAAGCTGGACCTATTCATTGAGTCACTGCTGAAGAATTAGTATGTGATCTGTAAGTAAGGGAATGGCTCTCAAAGCCTTCACATAGCATCTTGCTTGTTAGATTCCCTTTTATCACACATGAAGCATATTTACCCATGTTGAAAAACTTCAACTCAGAAAAATAGCATTGCAAATCTAAAGTATCTAGTAGTGTGAGGCACTCTTCTTTGTTCTGCTATAATAAAATATCACATTCTACTCAGCTGTAAAGGATTCTGTGTTTTCACACTCTTCACACTCTTATCTTGCTTCTGCACTTATAGAAGCACAAGATTGCATTAACTGTTCATTAAAATCTACACAGATATAAACATCACAGAAAAGGGCTCTTACTTGTTGATGTTGCTTCCTTCCTTGAGACGTTCTCCCGCAGCACCCGTTTTCGAAACTCTCTCACTGCCAGCCAAATCCACCAAGCTCACTTTACTGACTCGCTCTCCAGAATTCTACACATAAGTAAATGAGAATATTCAGTATAAATATACATTTATAAACTGGTTTTATTTTTTCTCTAGCAAGATCTGGTTAAAATCTAAAACAACTCCACTAACAATGGATCTCCACTTTGAAAAAAAATGAGAAAACCCAACCCCATGTTGGTTTTTACTGCAATTTGCTACAGAATTCTCACAATGTCTCCAACACAGTCAATCATGCAAAACTGAACTCTTGAGTTTTACTAATTTCTCTGGAAAATCTACAAAAGAGTACATAATGCCATATTTCTATGACCAGCAACTTTGCAGACTCTTTAGAGAATACATGAAGAAATCATATGTTCCATATGTCCTGCTGACAAGAACACCTCAACTAAAAGCCATGCTCACACCATCACAGTTGTGCTCGGTTTTTTTGGGACACCTACCAACATGGGCACCAAATGACAGTTAACAAGCAGGATTCAAAACCTGTCACTATCTACTTCAAAATGTTGCTGTCTCTTGAACTTAATTTAAAGACCTTTTATACAGTTTTGCAGGCATACTCATACAGATTCACTGACGCTATTGTGGTAACCCACAACCCTTGAACACTAAGGGGTGCATTTATCAAAGATACACTGGGCAATTCACACAGACATCATGGCTTATCTTTGACACATATGGCCCATAATGTCACAGGAGACCCAGAGTTCCCTGTGCATTTAAAATGTGGCCAGTGTGGAACATTTGACATTTGAAGTTTGAGGAAAAAGGTAGGAGGACTACTTTTCCATCCCCCTACTCCTGCCAGTGATGGAGCAGATACTGGGGGACATCAGTGGACCCCAGAAAGGCAATTATTTGTTAAAAAATAATTTAAAAAAAAATGTTTTGCTCTTTTATAACAATTCTTTTTCCCACACCCCTACAATCTATTCCAATTAGAATGCTGAAGGGTATATGGGCTGACATCCAAATAGCAAGGAAGGGGGGAGAAGTGCTGCTCCCTTGCTATGGGGATAACAGTCTACATACCTGGCACGTTAACTCTAGGAATAGAGGCGGGTCATGTTTTATTCATTTATTTTAAATGCATATAAAATGGATCATGGAAGTGCTGAACCTGCATTAAAAACAGAAATTCAGTACTCTTATTAATGAAAACACCCAGTGCTCCAAAGCCATAAGCTCTTTAAATTGTAAATTCCATCATTTCAAAGCAGGGAATAATTTACATATTGTGCAAGGTGAAAAACAGGCAAATGTTGGGTGAATATTAAAAAGCATTTGCATTCACTAAGCAATAAATTGGATGAACAGTAAAGCACAGTTCCCATTGAAGAACGGTTGTGGGCAAATCTTGTTGATGAAATGTTCATACTAGAACTCTTGCTTAATGCAGTTTTTTGCCAGGAGAATCTTGTTTGAAAATGGATCAAAACCACTGTCATAATTAGCATGAATGTGAAAAATTAGTGAAGCTTTGGCAAAAATAGTGGAAACCTGAGGCAAAACCTGTGTGAATCACATTCTGTAACAAAAAAAAAAATGTACCCCAAAGTAAAGCATTCACCTAATTAGTACCACATCATATGAAAATGCTAAAACACTAAAGCCTAGTACACACAAGCCAAATGTCGGGTGTCATTAGCCGGTTCAATAAAAACCAGGCGACATTTGACCCATGTGTAAGGCGGCCGGTCCAACAGAAGTCCTACAAAAGTTCAGCTGTCTTCTGTGGAAGAGGCATGACCGAAAAAGATCTACCGATCATCTCCAGAGTGCTCGGGCGGGGTGTCGTCCCCCTGTCAAAAACACAATAGCTCAGCAGGGGAGATCGCTGTACTAACATTGGATTGTTAGTACAGCGACTCCTCCAGAGCTCTGCAGTTTTTTCCATTCAGCTTGTTGGGATGAGCAAAAAAACTGCTACCCACATGGAAGAAAAATGTATTTGAAATATATTTAAAAAATATTCCTCCCAAATATATTGCATTTATTTGAAATACTACAATTTTGGCCATTTCAATATATTTCTAAATATATATATATATATATATATATATATTATATATATATATATATATATATATATAATATACACTGAATGTTGAAATGTGTTTTTATTACAAAATATATGAAAATTATTTTTAAAAATACATTTTAGATATACTGTATGTCTTTAAAAATACAAATCTACATTTTTGGAATGCATTTACAAATATATATAAAAATATATGTTAAAATGACTTTTTCATATGTTAAAAAAAATCTGAATATATTTTAAAAAAGCTGTGCTATATACTGTGATCTATACAAAATATATACAGAAGAAAACATTCAGATTATACAAATTAATTACATTGTTTAAGACATAACTGATAAGAATTTTGTTGCAGGCACTTACACCAGACTGATGGTCATACAAAGTCTGAGTGACAATGATATTAAATACAGCGTGTGATCGGCTGCTTTCTTCATTCATGTTAGTTGCAGCAACAGTTCGAGATTTGTTTCCTTCAGACATTAATGACTCAATATCCTAATAAAGAAAAAGGTTACAGAATTAAAAAAAAATCTGTACTTATAATTAGTTAAACCATGGCTAGCAGCTTGTAGCCCTGAAAATGATAATAAAATAGAATCCTGGACCATAAATGCAGCAGAAGCATGTACAAGTAAGTACAAGCAAATGTTTCATATGAGGGAGAAAAAAAAAAAAAAAAAAAAGACAGACTACAACGATTTATGGGAAGCCTGTCTCTTCTGCTAAAATATTAGTCAACAGGCTGAGGGCTTGTCTCCACGGCATCATTTTGACGTCAGTTTGAAATGCACCATAGATCATTTAGAATCAATTGACAGGTGCATTTGACCTGCAGTTGATGACCTTCTAATCCTGCATTAACCGGCTCTAAGCAGGGTTTGCATTGCCATAGACTTGTACGGTAACACAAAACCCTTCTGAAGTGAACAAAAGCCTATCAACTAAAGCCCTAACTTAGTTCAGCCATTCTTGGGATGTAGACTACACTGCCAGGCACCATAGGCAAATGCCTGACCTCCACAGTGGATAATCAGTAAAAACATGGCCCAAGATGCTTCTCCACCCTACAGACTTAGAGAATGAAGGGGCATCAGCACCATGATAAATCATCCCTGTGCTCCCCCCTGTATGTTCAAACAACTTGGAGATGGTATCCTTAAGGGGAAGCAAACCAAGGGCCTTAGAGAAGTAGGACAAGAAGGATAGCCACTTAGTCAAAGTGCTTCCCTGCCCACCTACTATGGGACAGAGAAACAAACAAATCATTTCCTAGTTTGTACATGCAAAGCGTTATAGACACAAGCAGAATCCTAGATAATTGATGACACATTCATAAAAACAGATTTTATGACAAATAGACATGTATAATTGACAGTGCCGAGAAAATAGTAATATATTATAGTTGTTTCGGCAAAACATCAATGGTTATCTTGCCATACCTTGTTAGGGCTCATGTACACTGCAGCTGATAAATTCATGTTTAGGAGCTGTTCTGCGTTTTTTTTCAGCAGCCCCTGAACTCTCCCTAATTTTCCTATGTGTCCATGTACACTATGTCATTTACAGGCAATTGAGTTTACAGTTGTTTTTTTGAACGCAGAAAACATGCATTCAGCAGTAGATTTTATCAGCGTTTCAAACGCCAAATGCCTGTAAATGCAGCTACACGTGTTTATAAGCGTTTGTGTTTGAAACATTTTTTTAACTGTTCCATTTCCAGATGCTGTCCAGAGCCTTTTCTCACCATGAAAAATGCATGCAAAGCGTTTTCCCGATACTCAACTGGACCTGGTACACCATACGTTGAGGTTTTGCATGAAAGAAAATATGTTAGACGCTGCTGCAATAATTTATGCACAGAAATGAGCTGGAACACATCCAAACACCACAAAAAAGAAATAAAAAAAAAAAAAAAGACAGCTAATCTCAACAAATACCGCTATCTCTGCTTCTGCTCGCTCTATTTCTCTCAAAATGTCTGAAATAGTAATTTTTTTTACGGTTTTTCAGTGCATTCTGGGCATTTTGGAAGGTCTCCTGAAGTTATCTTTAAAAAACACTTCTAAACACGAACGCTCATAAACGTGCATAAACGCGGTATGCAAATGCAGCTAAACAGATGTTTTTTAATCTACGTTTTCCAGCAGTCAGTTTCCATCGTTCAGAAGTGTCTCGTGTACATGGGGACTTAAAGCCAGAATAAAAAGTTGTACACTACCAAAGGTCTTTACTATCAAACTAAATATCACATTTTGCTTTACACACATACCCGTTACTGCAGGGTTTATAATGTCACCAGTTGGTGAAAAGCCCTGTTTGGTAATTTACGATTACTCATGCGTGACATATCAGTGTTAAAAAGTTAATTGACCTTGAAAACTGCCAATGCCGACATCCCCTAAAGAGAAGTCAATAGAATTATTAGTTTATTACATCGCATTGCCTCTTGTTTGGACACAAGCAACAATCAGCTTAGCACTAATCAATTTAAAGAGGATATCTCTCAGCCAAATGGTGTTAGCCAGTTTATATTTAATTGGCTAGAAGATTATCAGAGAATATTAGGTACGTGTCACATTATAATTAAGCACTGGTGTTTATATGCTGCTGCTGCAATGGATTTGCATGGTGCCCTGGTTTCTTTCTCCACCAGATATTTTTAGCTCTTACATAGTTACATAGTTAGTCTGGCTGAAAAAAGACAAAAGTCCATCCAGTTAAACCATAGAAAAAAACAAGTTATAATCCTACACCCACAGTTGATCCAGAGGAAGGCAAAAAAAACCCCCCAGCAAAGCATGATCCAATTTGCTCCTGCTGGGAAAAAAATTCCTTCCTGATCCCCCGAGAGGCAATTGGATATTCTCTGAATGATAACTTTGCCATTGTTCAGCTGCTACCTGGTTAACATAACTACAACTGGAAGTATACATTTATTTTCACGTAACAGGCACATTTAAGGTCACAGTTTAAACTCCAGGGGTATGTTGAAGGTAGCTAGGAGACTCAACCTGACTTAGCTTCACATCTCAGGCTTTGTGATCTAGCAACCAAATATTGGGTGCTTACTCCTTCAAGTCGGCTGTTTTGCTGGCTGCAAACAGAATTATCTAATAGAAAAAAGGAGATAGAGGATAAACTGCTTATTGTAAATTTCTCCTCAAAAATATGCCTGAGGAACAAGGCAAGTAAGATTAGTACCCCACACCGCTTCTTAACTATTAACTTTTTTTCTGTAGATCTCCAATTATACAAATTCATTTATCTGATCTTTTGCAGGCCAAAATGGTTTTAGGCCCTGCAATCACAATCACATGCCTTCATTAAGCCTCTTCAATAACTATGCTTCTAATAAATCATGCGTATACACCCCTAGTAACATGGCCATTGCCATACAAGCAAACATTTCCAACATAATATTCGGTTAGAAAAATAAATGGCCATCAAAAGAAAAGAAGAAAAGGTTCACAAAGGGACTCTTACAGTTAGACCAAAGGGAAAAAAAAACACATCTACTATAACAACAGTGAAAGAATAGATTATGTAGTCTGCAGTAGAAGACTTGACTTCTGGAAATAAGCCAGTGCCCAGGATAGTATCACACTGTGCTCCCCACGAACGCCTAACATGTGTTCAAACGCTTGAAAAACCAGGAAGCAACATACGTGAAATAGAGGTTCCTGTTTGGTTTCCTGGATAAGCATGAGGGACACTTGAGTTCTGACAGCTGAGCATTGCTGTCGTCAAAATGCCTGCATAACGTTTCTTAAATGGCGCCGCTTTTTCGATGCTGCTTTAATGCTGCATCTTAGCTCAAGATACCGACAACAGTAACCAATGACTTCTGGAAATGAAAGGGCATGTGACAGCACTGGTGCTTTGCAATTGGGCCAGAACTGCCACATGAGAGTTTTCAGCCCTGTATAAGCTCCAACTGGAAATACTTGGAGCTTACACAGGGATGTCTGTCTTCACTGTCAGACACAGAATGGAGTATTGGATGACCAAAGGAAAGGTATTAATGTATACTGGACAGAAAGGCATTTGGTTGCTTTGCCCTTTATGAGAAAAGCCCAGCTTCACATTAAAATGGCAATCAATGGGCTTTTTAGCATTGCACTGGGAAAATATAAAACAAACTTTAACCCCCTTCACGCCTAAGGGTAAAACAAATCTTAATGGTGAATTATACCTTGTTTTTTTCAGGACAAATTGGGTTTTCATTTGGTGGTAAATGGTAATGGATATCTCCTGATTTTTTTTTTATTATTAAAGGAAAACTGGCCTAGAATAGTAAAAAAAAATATATATTTTTTTTAAATTTAGCTGTGTGTTTCTTGTTACTACCATAACCTGCCACCAATGAACAACCCAAAATAAATTGTCCAGCTCTTGACGATCACAGCCATGCCATATATGTTATTTGTTGTTTGTACCCATAGTACAGCCCAGAAACAATAGTGCGTACTTTGTTTTATTGGGTTTTTTTTACCTAACACACACTGACACTAAGGCAGGCCATAGATGGGTCGAAAATCAGCCAAAAATTTGTCCGAAAGAATAATCGGCCGATTTTCGGATCGTTAGTGGGAGAATTTGTCGGCTGTTTTTCGTGATTTTGACACATTTTTTAATCGGTTATGTTGGGAAAAAAACTGCCCGATTTTGTCGATCGGCCGATTTTCACACAATGATGGGCAAATCGGCCGATCTTTTTACCAATTAAAAAAAATGCGCATTAGCTGTAACCTGCAAGAAGAAGGAAAAAAAGAAAAAAAGAAGATGAAGACAAAGAAAAAGAAGACGAACATTTGTATCTATTTGTATCCATTTCGGATACAGATGCTTCTATTCGGATACAAATAGATACAACGTTGCAACCGCAATACTTTTAAATGTCAAAAATAATAGCGGAGTGTCCCTGCAGAGAGCTCCACTATTATATTTGACATTTAAAAGTATAGCAAAGTTGCAACATTGTATCTATTTGTATCTGAATAGAAACATCTGTATCCGAAATGGATACAAATAGATACAATGTTGCAACTTTGCTATACTTTTAAATGACAAATATAATAGCGGAGCTCTCTGCAGGGACACCGCTATTATATTTGCCGGCCGTAGACGGGACGAAAATCAGCCGATTTTTTTTACCAATGGTGGTAACGTCGGCTGATTGAACGGCTGATTTTTCGTTTTTTTTTTTAAAAAGAAAACCGCCCGGTTTTCGCCCCGTCTATGGCCTGCTTTACTGACACGAATACCAAATTAAAAAAAAAAAATCCTGACCTTTGACCCTAACCTTTAGACCTTTGACCCTGACCCAAACACTTAACCTGGCACTGAACTAGATCACACCTTGATCTACGTATATTTTTTTTTCCCCTCTATACCAGGAGTTAGAGAGATACAATGTATCTCCTCCAATCATAGAGAGAAGCTGTACAGTGACTGATCACTGTGATAGCCAATCAGAGGCTATCACAGCAATCATGTGACCCAGAATCGGAAGTCCAGGGTCCCGGTTGTTAGAACAGGACCCAGGGGCTCTCAGTGACACCCTGGTCTTTGTGCTGGGAGACCGCTGTGCGGTGAACTCCCAGCACAAAGACAGGTTTGCAAATATGTGAACCCCATGGAAAAAAGCCCAGTTCTGTGAGGCCGCATATTTGTGTGATGTCGGAGTCAAGGGGTTAAAGGATAAGTTCACCTTTGGAACATGTTCCACTCATTTTTAGGGTGGAACATGTAACATATTCCCATAGTCTCAGGCCCCCCCCCCCCACACACACCCTCCGTCTTACAGATAGTACGGAAAGAAATCAACCCGTACTATCTGTCAGACTTGAAAACAGCATGGCCATGTGGGGCTCCGCCCACACGGCCACATCACTCATTTACAGAGTTCCACGAATGAGTGCCTACAAGTCCCAGCAACCTTAGCGGCTGTCGGCTTATAATTTTCAATTAACTACCACAGCGCTGTGGAGCGATGTGGTAGTTCATTGAAGCTTCTTGTCAGAATATCTGCTTGGCCGTACATCCCGTATGGCTAGCAGATATTCTGACAGATTGGGCAGCACAGTGGCTAAATGGCTAGCACTTCCGCCTGGCAGTACTAGGGTCGTTGGTTCAAATCCCAACCACGGCACCACCTGCTTGGAGTTTGCATGTTCTCCCTGTGCCTGCGTGGGTTTCCTCCGGGTACTCCGGTTTGATCCCACACAACAAAGACATTCTGGTAGGTTAACTGGATCCTGTCTAAATTGGCCCTAATATGTGTATGTATGAATGTAAGTTAGGGACCTTAGATTGTACACCCCTTGAGGGTTAGGGACTGATGTGAATGTACAATATATATGTAAAGCACTGCGTAAATTGATGGCGCTATAAGTATCTGAAATAAATCTGCAGGAGACCTGCATGACTTCAGCAATCTACTGATCGCTGGTGCAATGCTTTACAGGCTCCTTTGGACAAAAATAATAAATGCATTTTTTTACCTGCAAAACATGTAAATTTATTATTTTTGTCCAAAAGGTGAATGTGAGTGATTATGTGGTTTACAGGAAGAAAAAGAGGTCAGGATGGATTTGCTGATTTTTTTTACCATAAGAAAAGCAGTAGGAGAAGCATGCGCACATACACTGCACAGCTGCTGACTCTGAAAAGTGTTGTCACTCTCCAATGGCTGCATCACAAGAGTTTGTGCATTGCCTTAAAACTTATTTGTCAGGTAAAACAGTTCCAGTATATGCCTTTCAAAGGTGTACATAATATATGGTGGGTATTCCTCTGCAACTAATAAAAAAGGTGCAAAGAACACTCGAGCTCTGTATTTCATGACAACCAATCAGATCAGCTTTCAAAATCGTTAGACCACTTTTAAGGTTTCTTTATTTATTACTATGGGTTAAACACACTTGCCTCAAATGTTGTTACTGCTAATTGGGATAAACCATCCACATATGGTCCCAACACCTTGTGTTCCCGAACTTTAAGGGAATGTCGACTTCTGTAAGAAAGCAGATATCAGGTGAATAATTAAACTTCATTACAGTGATACACAATTAGTACAAATAAACATATGTAATACCGTTCACACATTTACCTTAAGTCAGCTAATTACACATTCACACTTATCAGAGGAGGTTGGCACAGGAGGTAAGGACTTAGGAAGTACCAACACACCTAGTGACTTTAATCAGTACAAATTTAGAAGAATTACCTTTTTAAACAGTATTCCAAATATATATATATATATATATATATATATATTTTGGGGAAATCAAGTATTCCAAATATATTTTTTTCATATACACCAGTAAAGTTTTACCATCCTGGGCACAAAAGGGATCATGGTTGCCACAATTCAATAACTGCAAGGCTGAGCCGTGCATGGAGTTTTGCATTTAGGTTATGCTGTCCATCATTTCAGCTGCCAGTACTACAATGGTTAACAGTTCACAGGTCAGGTTTCCTGAGTGAATGAGATACTTTTTTGTTCTGAGACTTCCAGTGATTGTCTGAGTTGTCCTGTGTGCTGCAGACACAAAAGACTGCAATGCTATCACATACTTCTGTGCTACATTGTTTGTGACAAGGTATTTGAAGGGATTCCCTGTTGCTTAGTGTATGGAATGACCACATCTGCTCAAAGGAGTAATGGATTTGGTAACTGATGTGACTTTCCTACCACCTCCATAAGATGCGTATCCTCTGGCCCTTTAGCTTTGCCATTTAACCCTTTGAGGACCGTAAGATTTTGGAACGCCAAAAGAATCAATGTTTTTGTTTTTAAAGTTCGTATACTTCAGTTGCTGTAACTAAGCCATTTCATGAAATAATTGGCAAAAAGCTTTTTGACTCAAACCAAAAAAAAAAAAAAAAAAGAAAAGAGTTTTAAGTTCTTAATCAGATGATACACGCAATTAAAAACATGGGACAAATACGTCCCTTGGTCCTCAAAGGGTTAAAATGTTTAGGCCTCATGCACACCAGCATAGGAAGTAAAATGATGGCTTTTTTTTCTTCACCCAGGAGTTGCGTACTGCCACCCATACACAAAAATGGTTGTACATGGGTATACACCGGTATTGAAGAACACCCACTTAGAGCACATGTACTCTCTGAGTTATGGAAAATACATCTGTATACTATACACAGTTAACACAAGATCCGGTGTATACCTGCGTAGAGCCAGGGGCGTCCCTAGGGTTGGTGTCACCTGGTGCGGTAACACTTGATGACATCCCCTCCGACGATCCCCGCAGGATGGATCAGTTCTGCGGACTGAGCATAATGGATCGGAGTCCAATCCCTTATCCTCCCCAATCCGCAGATCCGATCCATCCTGTGGGGATTGTCCACTTGCAACCTATATGGGGTTAACTGATCTCTCCACGAGCTCCATGAAAAGGTAAGTTTTAAAGCAAGGAGTCTGATCCGTTATGCTCAATCTGAAAATCTGATCCATCCTGCGGGGATCGTCGGCTTGCTTTAAAACTTACCTTTTCGTGGAGCAGGTCCGGTGTCACCCTGTGCGATAGGTGTTACCAGGTGCGGCGCGTACCCCCCTGCATCTGCCTAGGGATGCCCCTGAGTACATGTAAGGGTGGCCATATGCATTGCCTGGGATTCCCAGGTGCGGGAAAAAAAGCCAGGATTTTATGTTGTACATCCCTAACATGCCATATGCATGGTGTCTAATGCAAAGGTAGCCTATTTCACCCCTAGGTAAGCCATTATGTTTATAAATACTTTGCTTCACACTGAAATTGAAAATGCCTTTAAAGGCAAAACAAAAATTAACCAATTTTCTTTTCTTCAACCACGAGAAGTGGGGCATGTGTTAGGCAATAGGAGCAGAAAAAAAGATGCATACGTGCCCCCCAGTTTGACGTAAACAATGAGGATAACAGAGCTTTTATTGACTCGTGGACTTTAGAAAGGCTGGGAATGCCCAAAATGCTTGCCCTCAAGTCTTTAAGGCAGGGGTGTCAAACTGGTGCCCCTCCAGCAGTTGCAAAACTACAAGTCCCATCATGCCTCTACCTTTGGGAGTCATGCTTGTAACTGTAAATCTTGCAATGCCTCATGGGACTTGTAGTTCGGCAACAGCTGGAGGGCCGCCAGTTTGACACCTGTGCTTTAAGGGATTACAAGAGAGTGCACAATCTGGTACAGTTCTGCATATAAACCAATCAGCTTCCAGTTTTTTCTTTGTCAAAGCTTAATGGAACAAGCCTGAAGTTAGAAGCTGATTGGCTACCATGCACAGCTGCACCAGATTTTGTACTCTCCAGTTTTAGCAAATGAACCCCTTTGAATATTGCAAACTCTGTGGTGTTGCATTGTCCACTCAGACAATACACGGTACACAGTATACTGATACACACATGTAGCACCCTCCTAGATAGGTGCTAGGAGTAGAAAGATTTAGTTATGGCTCACTGTATCCAGTGGAGCTGAATTTTTGTTAGGTAAATTTAGCTTGTCTCACTGTGGCTGCAATTCTGGGTTAGGCAAATTTAGGTCTAGCTCACTGTAGACAGTGCAAGCTGCAGGTGATTGTTTAAGGCGGGGGTCAGCAACCAGTAGATCTTGGCCAGGTGACTGGTAGATCACGGTCTGGACTTGCTGACCTGCCATCCCACAGCATCAAAGAGTGCAATGCAGAGGGACTACTTGTCAAGTTGGAAATGTAGTAGGGAGCAAGAGCCGCGTAAGCCGATGTCTCCTGTGTACTACTTGCTCCTGTTCCATGTGGAGTGATATGAACTGTACTCCACCTCTTATCCTGGCTAGCGGTCTCCAGAGTGGTGCCAGCAGCAGGAAATACAGATCTTCAGGTCAGTGTAAAGCAATATACTGGGTATAATAGTATAAGGCTGCTTTCACACATATGCGCTGCGATTTACCCACACCACGGTTACGGTGCAGTGTACCTGCAGCTTTCCGCGAGGTTCGCTGCACTTAGCCATAGACTTCAATTATCGGATTTGGTGCACTTTCTGAAAGCACACTAAAACTCCTGAATGCAGAGTTTTGGTGCGCTTTCAGAAAGTGTACCACACCTGCAGGATATAATAGAAGTCTATGCCAAAGCTAACTCAGGAAAATCGCAGATGCTCTGTGCTGCACCCAAGGTGCAGGTAAACTGCAGCACATCAGTGTGAAAGCAGCCTTTATAGGGGGCTCAGAACAGTAATGGTTCATTTAAATTTGCAGTTTGGGGGGTTGTAAAACCTCATAGTTAAGATGTGTTTTTACTATCCCCAACCCATCTGCATCCCCTTTAGCTGCAGTAGACACTGGTGTACACATGTCGCAGCCGCACCAGGAGTTATATGCCCTGTCATGGTTGGTGGGTTTAGCACCTGCCAAGCATGACTCATTAAAGTGAATAAGGCCACTCTACAAGTGCCCTGCAACCTTGCGCAGTACAGCAAACAAGGGGATAAAGCAGGCTGTGTTGTGTTGCTTTCTCACCATCTGCTTTAACCCCTTGCCCCCCCACCCCCTGCAGAATCATGCAGTTGCAAAGTGCTTGCAGAATGGTCCCCTTTACTTGAATGAGTCTCGATTGGCAGGTGGTAGCACCTACCAAAAGCAACAGGGGGTTTAATTCCTGCTGTGGCATGTGTGCGCCTTTGGCTGCTGCCTCAGCAGCTATAGGGGGTAGGGATTGGGCGTGGTAAAACTGAGACTCAACCACAGGGTTTTACCACTGTCCATCTTTACGTGTGAATGAGGCTTAATGATGCTGCTGCCAAATGCAACCAAGGGCTCATTCACAAGTGCAGCAGACACTGCTGCTCCACTGAAAAAAGATCCAAATGTGTTTGACAGGTGGTAAGGAGGAGATATGTTGCCTCCTCTCCATCTGATTTAAACCCATGTTTGCTGTGCAATGCACACATTTGTGACACGGTAATACAGCAATTAAAGGTTTAAATCCGGTGTGTGGGGTGGCGACACTGTGCCCGGTGATCTTTGACTTCTCCTATGTTGTTCAGGTAGATCTCCACCTCTTTAAGTTTGCCTACCCCTGGTTTAGGGTTTGTTCTGTGTCTCACAGGCTGCAAATTTAATTGCTCTCACTCTATCTCCAGTACCATCTCAATAGTTTTGGAACATAGGTGTGGAGTGATGTAAATGGGCTTTATAAATATTTATACGGTCCCAGCCAATCTTTGTGGGTCCTGCACAAGTGGCTGCTGGGAAATGGGTATAAATAGTCTGAGATCTAAAGTCTTCTTGTCTTGTTTTGGAGAGGAGGAGTCCAGCCTAGAGGGTCTGCTGCCCTTAGGAAGCCCTGCCATGTGCTTGCTGTTTGTGAGCCCTCAGCTGGGCTACCTGAGAGACCTTAGAGCTGACTGATAGACTGTCGCTTGTTGGATCTGGTCTGGAATCACTGGCAAATGTGTCTGGAGGACATTGGAAAGATGTATCCATTAACCTGAAGACATTTGTGAGTACAGACTATGTGAGAGATACTAGAGACTGTGAGCTGCTGCCCCTCTGGTGCTTGAGAGTGCAAGAAAAAGGGGATACCAGCTGGTATCCTAAAGAGTTTAGTCCATCTTGTTCTTTGTTAAAGGGACCCTGCTCAAGTTGCTTTAAGGAAGAAATTTGTGCCTTTGTCTGCTTAACCCCTTTGCACCGGCGTCTGGACCTACACACCGAGCGGCCGCACATTTGCGTTCATGTAGAAAAAAACATATGTGCTGAGAGCGCGCGCCCTGTGCACATGTGTGGTACTCACGGAAAGGTCCCGGTCCGCTCTTTCGATCGGGACCTATCCCAATCATGTGACCGCCTTGATGACGCATCACGGTGGTCACATGATTCCTAAACCATGCCCCACCCGCCCCGCCTCCCAGCGTCTGAAATCAACTCTTAAAGGGCTGGGAGGCGCCGGCGGGAAGGGGTTAAACTAAGCCAAGTCCATTACTGGCCCCTACAAGGACTGTGCTCAAAGTGCTGCAAAATAAAGTGAATGTCCTCATCGTG